AAGCCAAGAATGCTGATGTATTCCTATAATCCCAACTACTTGGAGGTCTGAGACAAAAGGATGGCAAGATTAAGGCTCTGCCGTGTAGCTTGGTGAAGTCTCTTAAAATAAAAAGGGCCAGCAGTATGGCTCGGTGATAGAGTATTTGAGTATTTGCCTAGCATGCACAAGGTCCTGGATTCAATCTCAGTCTCTAATACCTACCACAAACCGCTGCGGACGAGAGCAGGAGAATTGAACTCGGGCTTGTACAGCAGCTGCTCTGCCCACTGAGTGATTTCCCTAGCCCAGCACACCGCTTTGAACTATGTCTCTGATATATGAATGTTTGATTTCAGGTGTGTGTGTGTGTTTCTTTAGAAACTAATGGCACAACAAAGCATTGCAAAAACCAATAGCTATTTCTCTTGGATAAATTTCTAGAACAGGCTTATAAAAATAGTATTTTCAATAAAAATTTAATTGCTAAGCAACAACAAAAAAGCCTGTCTGTAGAACATTATACAAAAGCATGACTTATCTTTCTCTTTGGCAACATTTCTTTAAGAATAAATTTAAAAAGAAATAGAAGCCTTCCTAGGGAAGTGGGGTTTGTGATACCAACAAATGTCAGTTGTCGCCTGTTCGGGTGAAAGGGGATGCTGCTGGACCATGCAGCAGGAAGAACCATTTAGCTACACAATGGCTTGTGCTTTTGCAGGGTAGTCAGCCAATGTGGAAAACTGGTAACCGGGAGAAAGAACGGTGCCAGTCACAGGCATCAATCGTGGAATCCGCACAACCACAAGTCCACAAGAGCCCACCAAGAACCCTGTACGGGCGTTGCCCTCACCGGCATGACACTTCTAGTTTCTATTGATGGGGTTGGACTTCAACATTCAATTTATTAGCCACAATTTTCAGAATCTAAGAGTGTCAGCCAGAGGTCAGCCCGTTTTCATGGAGAGATGCCACTTAGAAGAGCTGAGACCTGCTCTTGCAGCCAGAAGCTCTGGGACAGTTGTCAGGGGATGGACATGACTCAGACAATGGAGAACAGCAGGCTGCAATCCACTGTGTGTTTCAGGCTGATGGCAACAGTTGGAAGGAACAGGAAGGGGAGAAGGGAAAGCGCTTCAAATCAGTGTCTACCTAAATTCAGATAAACCTCTCCTAAAACACACACGGGCTAAGCAGGACCATCTGGGGGACTGATTTTAGTAGGGCTACAAAAGCTTTTGCGAATTCTTGAGGTCAGAAACACCAGGCCAGTGGAACTCTGTTTATATCGACATCTTTCCATTGCGGACTCCCCATCCATTCATCCTTTTCCTTGGCGATGGTTTGGGGACAGGGAAATGCATAGTAGGGAGAGGAGGATCACCACATGCTCTGTCTGGGAGTCTGTTCTCAAAACAGTGGTTAAGTGCTCCTCTGTCATTGTCAGAGCAGTTGCTTTTAAGGCTGGTTGAGTCACAGGATGTTTTAAAAACACAGTTGTGACCAACTTTCCCTTCTAAAATTCCTTAAAGTGTTTCCTTTTCTCTATCGCAAGATGAGTTTTTCTTATATGTCGTCGGTGTCCCTAAAGAAGCCCTTAAAGTCATCCATCTCCATTCTTTATAGGCTTTTGAGTCCTCATACTTTCTGAGTTATCAGCTACTTTCTGGGTGAAGCATCCCCCATCCCTTCAAAACCAGCACTTCCTCCATCTGGCCATCCTTACACCACTATTCCTTCTGGAGCTAAGCCTCACTGTGAATACTCAAGCTCTGCCTTTTTCCACTCTTACACCCAAGTCGGATAAAATGGCTTCTGTTTCCACACTGCATTTCTCAAGGAATTATGAACATGTATTCCCTTTCCCTTTAGTACAATTTGCGCACATTCTCAGTGGGTGTCTCAACTAATCACTCATTCATAAAATTTTTATGGATAATACTGTGTGCCAGATAAGTCTCCAACAGGAAACGAAGTGTGTCTACACTGAGCATAACTTGAGCATAGGAGACCTCATAGCCCACCCGCTCAGTGGCGCACTTCCTCCAGCAAGGCCACAGCTACTCAAACAAAGCCACACCTCCATATAATGCCACTCCCTACGAGCTTATGGGGGCCAACTGCATTCAAACACCAAACATATTATTCGTACAAAGTCCAGAATCAGGTTCCAGGCATCTATCTGTTTTGGTCAGCTCGCCTGTAACTCCACCCCGAGAGCTCCCATGACCTCTTCAGGCCTTTAAGGGCATTGCACTCACGTGCACAAACCCACGTACAGCTTACTTCCTGTTGCCCGTGGATCAAGACGCAGAACTCTCAGTTATTTCTCCAGCACTATGTCTAGATGCTTGCTGCCTTGCTGTCTGCCATGATGATAATAAACGAAACCTCTGAAACTATAAGCCACACTAATTAAATGCTCTTCTTTATAAGGGTTGTTGTGGCCATGAGGTCTTTTCACAGCAATAGAAACGCTAAGACAATATGCATTCTTAATAGCTAGTCAACTGCATTCCCTCTTTTATATTTTTAGAGGTATGTATGTTTACTTTAATCACGTATTGTCATCTGTGCTTATCTAGTCTATCTTATCTTCAGTGTTTTTATTTATTTTTGCAGTCAAAAGTTTTAGATTCACATATGAGGATATTCAATATTTATCTTTTTTGTCTTTTGTATATTTTACTTAACATAGTGTTTTCTAATTCCGTTATTGCAAATGATAAGATTACTTCCTCTTTATAGGTTGAATAGCATAGTATACCAAATTCTCTTTATCCCTTCATCCCATGATGTACATTTACTCTTACCATAAAAGTTGGCTATTTATTTCAAGCACAATCTTACTGTGTTGGTCAGTCTGACCTCGAACTCATGATGCTCTTGCCTCAGACCCTCCAATGATGGCATTGCAGGAGTGCATCCAGAGTGCTAGCTCGTTATTTTACACATCACAATGTGAGGTTGTAGAGATTTTGACAGACATCTTTATGTCTCTATACATTGATGTCAAGGTGTCAGGTGAATAACAAGAAGTGGGAGCACTAGAGCTTCTGTTAGCTCTGCTGTTAGTTTGCAGAGGACTTTACAACTGTTGTGTGTGATGACTGTGCTAATTCACATTTCCAACAATAGTAAATAAGGATCCTTTCTGCCATATTCTCTGAGCACTTCTTTTGTCTTTATAAAACCAAGTGAAATAAAACTGCTTTGTGGTGTTCGTGTGGCTGGAGTTGGGGCTACAAGCAGTTGTAAACTACTTAGCATTGGTCCTGGGAACCTAACGCAGGTCCTTTGAAGGAGCAGTATATGCTCTTAGTTGCTAAACCATCTTTCCAGGTATTTTAATTTTTGATAATTTATTTCAGTGGTGTGTGTGTGCACACATGGTATTATCTGTCATGTGTGGTGCCCACCTAAAATGTAACATTTTATTTGCTTTTGACGAATGTTAAATTTTAGGCTTTCTATATAAATGTGTGACTGTGAAAAGAGCCCTCAAAAGGTTTTCTTAAACTCAGAAATTCAAGAAGTGCTAAGCCTGGGCTGGAGAGATAGCTAGGTGTATGTGAGCACTCGCTGCTCAGGGAGATGCTATTGCTCACCTAGGAAGAAGACCTTGGATTCGCAGCACACATGGGCATAGACACACTCACCTACAGCCCCAGCAGTGGGTCATGAGAAAGACAGAAGGACGGGGAGGGCTTGTTGGCCAGTCAGCCAGCCTAGGTCAAAAATGACAAGCTTCATGTTCAGTGAGACCATGTCTCAGGGAAAGGGTAGAGAGTCATAGAGGAAAGCATCTAACATTCTGCTCCGGTCCTTTCATATGCACACACATGTGTGTGTACCCCACCCTTGTGTGCACATCCAAGCACACTCACAAAAAATATGGCTAAGCATTACCTTGACAGCTATTGTAGTATAATGTTCAGTTTACAGTTGACTTTATCTTGACATTGAGGTTTTATGACTAATTGAGTGCCCTAATTAATTTCTCAGGATTAAGTGTTAAACCCTTACTCTTTATCTGTTTTTACCCCAGAGTAAAACTTAATCAAGCAGTCATAAATTGAGTAAGCTGTATTTGTTGTACTAGCATCAACAAAATTAAATATCCATCAAAAGGCCTGTTAAGGAAGTGATAGCATATGGTTTCAATGAGATATTAATTTGTCATTTAAATTGTTAATTTTAAAAGTGCCTGTATGTACATAAAGGACTTAAAATATAATATAAACTGAAAAAACCATCAGAATGCAATTGTGGAAACAGGATGTAACCATGGTGATATGTAAGTAAGAAATGTTTGGAGATGATAAGTGAATTCTGAGGGAACTTTGATTATGCCTTATTTTTGGAAGATTACATGAATATTGAATTGAATTACTGTAATCTAAAGAAGTAGGAAAGTTTATTAGAATATGAACTACTCAAACTTCCATGGTGAAGAAGTAATACACAGCTTGCCTATTGCCACTGCAAATAAACCTTGTTCCTCACTGGCAGCATCTCGCGTGACTCTCGGAAGGGGGCCCTACCATCTGATGTCTGAGTGTGTTACTTAGGAACCCTTGATTGGCAAATAATCCATAGAGCATCAAAAGCAAAAGCAACAAGGCAAAGCCGCACAAATTTCACTGTCCTGACACATCTTGATTTTTATGTAACTTCTTTCCATTTCTCATGCAAATGTATATTTTCATATCTGATTCTTTGCATTTCCCACATGCTTTATTTTCAAGTTTTCTTTCTTATGCATTCATGGCTCTCTTAATTGCTTCATAAAAGAAGCATTGTTAAGTAAAAAAATCACACCACCCCCTTGAGTTACTGCAAAGCAAAGATACGAGAGTTCTGACCTTGCTTTGTCTGCTGACAGAGAGCTTTACGGCTTTGTGGATAAGAATGCTATCCCCATGTCTCCATTTGAGTGGTAACATGATAATACCGAAAGCAAGCGGAGCTAGGTCTTAGATGACAGCACATCACTTAATATCCACTTATTGTTCCTACAGGGAAATTCTGGCCTGGGATTCAGTATTGCTGGAGGGACAGATAATCCCCACATTGGAGATGACCCTGGCATATTTATTACGAAGATTATTCCGGGAGGTGCTGCAGCAGAGGACGGGAGACTCAGGTAAAGACTGGAAGCATGAAAATGACCTGGGGCGTGGATCCGCTGCATCCGCGAGTCACGCTGGTACCTTTGGAGCATGAGAATCCTGTAAAATTCTGGACTGTGAAGGTTATCAAAGCTTTCTGTAGTAACTCTGCAAACCTGTCCCTACTTGCTGAATTTCATGTCAGATTTAATCTATGCAAGTTGGGAGCTATCAAATGTGACATTGGATCGGACAGCGGGGGAGGAGTTATAGATATACCTTTGATCCCCGTGGGGCCCTCTGTCTACTTTGGAAGAGTGATAATATTAATTAATGAGTCAGCAATATAGTGTCTAGAACCAACACTGTACCTAGCATTAGGGAACCGTGCTGTTCCCTAATACAATACAATAGCCTTCCTAGGGTGTTCTATAGATATTTAGAGAGAGTCGGGAAAACTGCCTTATTGGAAGATTCTAGATCTTAAAATATGATTGGACAAGGCCTTAAGTAAGTGCATCAGTCTAAGCTGGAACACGGGGAAAGAGCACATTATCTGCGAGAGCAGAACAATAGCAGCTCGCTTTGGGAGAAGCCTGGGCCGAGTTTAGGGTGGAGTAGAGTCAAGGTAGTGCCCGGGGAAGAGCAGTGGCTGCTGGAGCAGAGGCCGTGCTCTGTTAGAACCTAGAAATAAGTGTGGAAATAGCAATTACCCACAGAGAGCAATTAATAAATAATTTAAAATGCAATCAGGAATTAAAAACAACCTCTAAAACGCCAAAAAAAAATAAGGGCTCAGAAGCTAATGGAAGCCATCCTACAAATAGTTTATATATTATATAATACGTAATAATGTATAATATATAATATGACCCTACCTGATTAAAGATCCACATAGGCCAAGAAGATTTAATTATATCAATAGATTTTTTATTATTTTTAAACAAAATCTCACAATATAGGCAAGGATACCCTCACACTTGTGGTACTATTGCCTAAAACTGACAGCTGCTGGGGTTATAATAGCATGCCACTATACCTGGTTATATCTTTACATCATCTATCATGTAGACATAAGTGGCTTAATAAATGCTTGCCGAATGGATGCCTTTGATATTAATAAATAGGTAGAGAAGAAGAAAGGGAAAATTGATATGGATGATAGGGAGGATGTTAAAGGAGGAAACTTATGAGGCTTATTAAAGAGTATAAGGGAGATTTTTCAAGAAGGGTTACTAGGGTGCAGAGCTTACAGCAGGAAAAGGAAGAGGGATGCATACCTGAATGCAACAAAAACAACTGTGACCATGTAGCTAAGGATGGGTGAAATATCAAGAGAGAGAATATCTTGAAAACGTATCAGTCATAAGACAAGATCCTGGCTAAAGGGAGACCACGGTAATAAGATACTAAAGGGAAGAATGTAATGCCAGGGAGAAGAAAGCTTGCAAATTGATTCAGGACAATTCTGTCTGAAACTGGACTGAGTGGGCTAAAGTCAAAGCTTGTGGTCAAGGCCTCCAAGGAAAGAGCTAAGAGAAGCCTTCTTCGGGCTTGGTAAAGAAGTTAGTATGCCTGATAATGAAGACAGGTCCTGTAGATAAAGACAGCATTGGCCAGCATGGTGTCACAGTGGGAAATGTGACCTGAGCACCAGGAATACAAATGTCACGCCCTGGCTCAGTCTGTTTTCATTACACACGAATAACCTGTTCTGCTATTTTCCCTTTGAAATAGGCAAAGTCACGTGATCCCTGTCAGACTGTTCTGATGCAGGGGTTTCATTAGATAGCTGCATCTTTCCAGCTGGGGGAGGAGAGCTGCATTTTTTTTTTCAGGCTCATTTGCCTGTGGTTTCACCCAGAAAAGATTTCCATATGAAATGCATGCTTTGTAACAATTGAATTTCCAAGTTGCTCTCAATGATTTTCAGAGATGAAATATCCATATTGAGCAGTGAGAGGTTTGAAATATGAAGTGCAATTTTCTAAGTCAAGAGGAGCTTGTGTTTGCTAGGGTTGGATCCTATATAGGCTCTATTTCATATGTTTAGACATGAGCTGGGTATGCTGACTTATGCCGATAATCCCAGCACTTGAGATGCTGGTGCAGGAGGATTGCCATGAGTTTGAGAACAGCCTCAGCTAAAAGGTGATTCTTAAAGGTGTAGCCAGGCCAGCTCAGGCTACAACATGATACTCTACCCCAATGAAGGTGGAACAGGCAAAAAAAAAAAAAAACTGGTTATGGGAATGAGACTTTAGAACTTTAGAAATGTGTGGGCCTTGATGAGCATGCTCAACTGTTTACTATCTGAAAGAGAAGGACTGCTCACCTCCTGGTAAATGCTGCCTCTGGGTTTGAGATGTAGCAGTTCCTTTGCTACCCGCTTGCTCTGCAGTTAGGAATAGATATCCACATTTCTGAGACAAATGGCTCCTGTTGCCTGAAGTCATGAGTGGAAATCTCATGAAAACTTACTCTTACAATTAAGTTGCATAGAACCCTAAAAGGCAACATTTGTAGAACCTTCATTATGCATGGAGCATTTGTATTTGTATTTTAAGCTACAATGTCCTTTATTCTGATCTTTGTTCATTAGCCCTTATTATGGTCTCCCAGGCTGTGTGAATGACACCTCCCAGGGTTGTGCATCGAAAAATCTGAAAATTTCTGTCCTAATTTCCTCCCTTAAACAACAAGAAATACCTAGTCCTTAATCTAGAGTACATCCTTTGTCTTTATGAGAGAACTCTTGGGTCTCCCTTTCATTTTGACAGATCCTTAAAATATTACTAAGGCTACTCTCTCCCATATTATTGACGGATGTAGAGACTTCTAGAGTTCAAAGACATCTATCAGCAGAAAATCTGGCTTATGGTTTAAATATCAATTATTAAAATTGGGGAGGAAACCAAGTCCAAGACTCTCATTTTATGGTGGAGGAAAGTGAGGCTAGGCATAAAATATTTGACATAAAACATCAAAATGGCCTGACTCAAATCATGAGCTGTCTGACGTACTGTCAAAAAGGAGTCATACACAGGTCCAAACTAAGGCCATGTAAGCATTTTCTCAGCGTGACAGGAGCAGTGTATAGGGCTGGTGTAACAGGCTCCAAGGAGTGCTTTGTTTGGCCACTAGTCCTGAGGACACTGAGGAAAGGGCACTGTGCAAACTTGGAAGGCAGGGTTTCTGGTACCTGTTACAAACAGAACTGACCTTGGCAGAATGAAACTTCCCTTATTGGTGTCTTCTGTCAGATGATAGGAATGCCTATGTCACAAGGCATTCTGAAGGTTCAATGAGATTGCCTTAAGTCCACAGCTTTGTCAGTCATGTAATAGGCAATCAAGAAGTTCTGGGAACACTTCCCCTTTCTCCTTAGCTGCCCTTCTACGTGACCTTTGGCCCCATTTCATTCTTTTTTTCCTCTCCAAGTTTCTTGTTCCTGTCTTTTTGAGTCCTCTTTTCTACTGGTTATATCATGACATGATATTAAAAGTCGCCTTAGAAATGAAAATGATATCATTTTAAGCTGCTAGTATCTAGTGAGTGTCTAAGCAATGCTGGAATATGAATATGTAATTTGCAGGTTTGTGTGCACATGTGTGTGTATTTCTGGAAATCATACAAGCATGAGAAACTTTCTTTTACATGCTAAACTAAACCCAAAATAATGCAGTTGTACAGGTTTAAAGCATATGTAAATTGAGAAGTAGACTTCTCCCTAGATAAACCAGACTCCAAGGTGAGGTTTAGTCTCATTGGTTCTCCCAGAAAACAGTACAATATTTAGAATAAGAGGACCTGGGTTTCATAACTATGTGACCTTTGTCCCTTTGAAGCCATCGTTTTCTGGTTGCCTCCCTTGACATATGCACATTTGGCATATGGCCATGGGACTCAAAAAACTTACGGAGAAGGTTCCATGGAAGAGTAGATCCATGAAGGCATTGGGTAAAATGTGAGACACCCAAAGTAACTCAGTTATCTGCAGACCCAGCACCTCAGCAGAACACTTAGCTTGAGACCCAAGCCTTCAAAAGCTAAGAATAAACACAGTGCTAGGAAAACTCATAGTATGACACCTGCCCCAATGTCCAGAGCCTTGTACAAATTCTTTGCTTAGACCAATAGTGGTGGAGCAAACATTTCTCAAAGTATGTTGTCTTTATTCTTCATGCTCACATATATACAGTGGTAACCAGTAGTGGATTTCTATGTATCCTTTCCTGGTATTTAATTAAGAGTGAGATGGGACTTTGAAGAACTTACTAGTCACTGGTATTTTGCCTTCTAGAAGCAATCGCTATGATTGGATAGCATTCCTTGGCTTGAATAATTGAAATATGATGGAAAGGTCATTAATTTTATTTCAGGGAAAAATAGATACATTTCCATCTTCTGAAGAATGTGTTTTATTTCTGTCCTTGTATCTGAAACTTAAAATGCCTTCAGTGTTGTCTGATGCCCCTAGCTTGCCAGTGACCAATTTTGACATGTCTTCCTAGGGAAGAGCTATCACACGACAACCTGTGCTTGGCCATGCAGCGATGACATTTTACACAATGGTTCATTTATTAAACCTGTCCACAGCATAAAAACAAAGTGCAGAAGAGGGATGCTTGCCAGTTTCCTGACAAGTGACACAATTTAATCTCCTAGCCCTCGACACGATCATTTCCATTTCTTGACAGAATGAAAAAAAAGTGTTATTTTTATTTTAGGTCTATTGCTTCATTTATTATCTCTATGTCTGCTTACAAGCAAGCATGCTTATAAAATGCCGACAATGTGCATGTTCATTTTGAACAGTAATATTAATTAATGTGCTGAGATGGCACCCTACTGACAGGTTGAATAGAATGTATTCTCTATGTGTAAACTACAACATTATCTTTCTTTCTGTCCTGGAACAGTCATACTCTTGTGGTCTCGTTGATTCATATTCATTAAGTCACAAATTATTTAAGATAACATGTGAAAAAGGGAAGGAAGTAAGGAAGATTGAGGGAAACAGAGAAGAGGAAAA